TCTCCGGCGAGCGGCCGCGCTGGCGCAGCAGGAGTCGCCGCACCACGGGGCGGCGGAGCGCGGCCGGTCGCGAGCGGGACCGCACAAGCAGCGCACGGCGTCCCCCGTGCTCGAGTCGTGAGGTTCCGCTGCGCCCGGTGTCGCGGCTTTCGGTCCGGGCGGTTCACCGTCGCACTCGTGTCTCGAGCAGTAACCGGGACCGGCTAAAATCCCCGGAGGAGACAGTTGCAGAGCTGCAGAGTTGCCTACCTAGGGGCACCAAAGAACCTTGCACCTGCGATGCTAAGGGCCTTTTCACACTTTTTATGCGCTTGCTATTCTGCAGTGTCTTCAGTTTTCGCTGGAGTTAAGTTACGCTTTTCTGTTAGCAAGGTGCTGTGTCAACAACCAGATTGACTCATGTCCACGCAAAAAAACCAACAAATCCTCCATCATCAGAAGAAAAAATAAATTCTTTTGTATCAGGTCTTGAACCAACAGAAGTGCAAATGTCATGTCCCATATGTGAGCATCTAAATGCTAATTTTCTATTATTTAGACAGAGCAGAGTGCATTAAATACAAGGCTTTTTATTACAGAGACGTTAACTGAAAAACATGCATTAGTACAATTATTGCCCACAGAAATTTATGCATCAAGAAATGCAAGAATTAAAGCCACAGTAGCAGTATTAAAGCTAAATCACGGTGTACATTAATTACATTCCTGTGTATTACACAATGTTAAATTTTACACTGTGTGAGCAGAATTACATAGGGCTGTATTTATGTATACACATAGAGTGATACTAGAGGTGAAAAGAATAGCTGCTGGAGAGAAATCTACAGTGAATAGTTTTAACAGTAGTAATGTGTATTTCTAATGTGGACAGGGCCAAATCAATGCTGCTGCTGCAAGCGAAAGAGCATTTTAGGTTTTCTGACTCCTTTTTTTCCTAATATTGTACAGCTTCCAGCCAATCTGAAACATGGCTTGCTCTTAAGCATAATGGTAATGCACATTAAGAATTTAATGATGCTGCAACATCGTGATGCTACATCTTACAAATGACCTTTCCAGCGCCTGTTTGGTAAGTCAAATCCACTTGTAAAAAATACTGCGCGTATACACTAATGCATCCCAGATGCGTCCACGTCACCAAGTATTTGCAGCCTTACAGTGCTGTGTGACTCAAGTAAATGTATTTCATTCACAGAGGTCTCAATTGCAAATGTAACATGATATTTTGTTCATCTTTCCCTCTTTTATTATTTCAAGATGTTTCATGGAACTTGCCTTACACTATTATATGGACTGGAGCATCAAGTGGATGAATGTCCTTTAACTGTTTTGTTACCTCTATAAAAAGCATAAATGGAAATGCTCCTTCCAAACAATTATAAGCATTCTTTGATTTTAAGAGTTTATCAGAATCTGGAGGACAGACAAACCCCATAGCATCCAGGACATGAGTAGTTTTACAGCTTCCTAAACCTTTTATACATTCTTTGACATCGTAACTGAAAGTAGAAAGGTACTGCCATTTTTATTTCTTCTTCCTTCCCCCATAGTAAGCCTTCTGGTTTGTGAAATTCAAAATTTCTGTTTAATAGATTTCAGTAACTTGTTTTCTAGTGAAAAAAGTAAAAATTGCTAGCTTGTCAGCGTTGTGCAAAGTGTCGCAGTTGAACCTCACAACTCATTTGTAATTGATGATGCTTTAAAAATGTAATAGTATATTTAACGGTAATAGTATAGATAAGAAATTCACTCTGATTTTTCTGCTGAGGAAGTCAGTGGTGATACACTGAAAAAAAGTGTACTGCGGAGTTCAAGAATTAGTGATACATGTATCAGATGTTTTGTTCTTTTTGTATTAAACACAGTTCAAGCAGTGTAATATGTTTGACATTCTGCCTTCTGACAGCTATCAAATGTCTCTTTGAATTCTTGGAGAGATTGAGCAGAAACATATTTTCCAATAAGTAATTCCTCCTGTGAGTGCCGGTGCCACCTTTAGCCTAATTTAATTTACTGGTTTTTGTAAAATATGTCTAACTGTAAATTTTGTCTTCTACTTTTATTCAGTTTAAATAGTATCAGCTGTGATTTTATGCCTGACTTTTCCTAATATGTAGACTTATACAATGTACGTTTTTCTTTTTGGCTGGAAGAGTAGTGCAGAACCTTGTGCACTGAGGTCTAAGCCACCCTTTCATATCAAAGGAAGGAAACAGATTGGTAAGAAGTTACTTAGCTAATATTCAAAGGGCTACACAACTTTTCTATCCATATGAAACAGCTGGCTAAAGGTGAACGATTTAGCTGCTCTTATACATAGGTCTTGCTTATGTCGTAATGTTCACTAATTATCCCAGCACCGGCTACAGCGATTCACGGGTTAACTCATGCTATATCTGGAGATCTGTGGGGGCACGCCTGCTGCTGGCATTACTTGACAGTGACAGTCGTCTGGACAGAGAGAAAGGCTTAGGACTATCGCAGTTTCTACTTCTTTTAGATTCTGAGCTCACCTCCCCCGTAGAGTCAGGAGTGTCTGGTCGGCTAGAATTTTTTACGTCAGCATTGCATGGAGGTTGGGCTTTGTTTGCGCTGAAACTGCCTTGTCTTCTGTTGCTGTTCTTTGGAAGAGAATTCGTCGAAGCTCCTGCACACTCAACCATCGCCGAACAGTTCCAAGACGAACCGGTTCCATGTTGTCTTCTGAAACCGGTAACAGGAAAAGTTGTAGCGGGTTGCAGTGAAGTTTGAGATGGCATTTCGGCAAAGCTTCTCAGGCACATGCTTGAAGCTACATCTGCATTCTGAGTACTGATAAGGAAATGTTTCTTTTCAGCTTCTTTTTGGGCACCATGCACTTCAGTCCCAAGCTCGCCAAGCAAGCCTTCATTATTATTTGCACTAGTTTTTTGACTCTGATTGTCTGTAGCATTTGTAGCTGGCCTCTTCTTTGGCGATTTATTTTCCTGATTGCGATGGGTGTAATTACTGCTGCTTTCTGTATGGTTATTTTGCACAGACTGAAACATTGGAGGAGAATTTAGAACCGGGTAGATGGCAGTGTCAGTTTGCTTTTCCATTAAAAAGGCATAACCGCTAAGTACAGAAGGAAGATTTTTTTGAGGGGTAGTGGATATTCCCAAAGTAGAGTGCGGGATCACAGAGTATTTCTTAGATTTGTTTAAGTGGAAATTGTCAGGGTCGTCCTTGTTTTTATTCTGCCCACAGAGTCCCATTTTAATTTTTCGGAATCCTAGGTGGATAATTTCTAGGATATTTAAAAGCAGTGATACAGTCGCTATTGATTGCATGAATAATATGAACACTGTCTTTTCTGTTGGTCTAGATACAAAGCAGTCAACTGTGTTTGGACATGGATCTCTGTGACATTTATAAAGGGGATCTAGATGAAAGCCATAAAGAAGATACTGCCCAATCATAAAACCAATTTCCACTGCAGATCTGGTGAAAATATGTATCACGTAAGTGCAGAGCAAAGAGCCTCTCAGGGGTGCTTTGTTTAGCTTTCTTTGATCCAATTGCCGGAGTTCTCTCTCCAGCCTTTTCCGATTTTCAGTCATTTCTAATTCGGTGCTTTCGAGTTCCACTCTCACCTGAGCTTTCTTTTTTTGCCTCTCTTTTTCCAAGGCTCTTAGTCTGTATAAGGCATGACCCATATACACCAAGGAAGGGGAAGAGACAAATATAACTTGCAAGACCCAGTACCTTATGAGAGAGATGGGAAAGGCCTCATCATAGCACACGTTTCTGCAACCAGGTTGCTCAGTATTGCATATAAATTCTGATTGTTCGTCGTTCCAAACATCCTCAGTTGCCACTCCGAGGACAAGCATTCGAAATATGAAGAGGATTGTTAGCCATATCTTTCCAATTATAGTGGAATGAATGTGTACCTCCTCTAAAATGCCTCCAAGGAAATTCCAGTCTCCCATGGTTATTCTGCCATCTTAACACTAAAATGTACAAGAGAGAAAGGCATCAAACATTGTAAAAGCTGCCGTCCTTCCATAACGTATTATGAAAAAAATGACACTTGGAAAAACCGTTCTATCTTACACTGTGACCGTGGCAACGTGACCCTCTGCTCATTGATAATCTAAGCATTATTCTCTCTCATGTACAAGATGGAGAAGCACATCATCCGCCCATGTCTAATTTATCAGTAAAAGACATCCTGATAAGCATATCACTGTGAGGTATTAAACACCCTCATTTTGCATCAAACCAGTGGAGCCTAAGGTGCCTGAATCATAGTAGGTTTTTAAGAGCATTATACGGTCTGTTTGAACCATATCCGATAGCAGTGTGTTTATATTTAGGACGGTTATGATGGTACAGGAATATTTCCCGGTCCTCCTTTTTGGATGTTCTGAGCCCCATGTTGCAGCGGAAGGTCCAATTACTGTTTTGAAGCTAAAATTGCTTATACAAAGGAACTTGAGGGGGAATAAAACAACTTGCTAAAATTGCACTGTCAAATTAATAAAATATATTTAAGCATAGAATTTGGCGCAGACAATTTCTTTCTGTTTGCAGAAGTCAATGATAAACAAATGGTTCCTGCATTTGAAATATTATAGAATAGAGTGTCTAAGTGTCAGGTGTTGCTATCTTTGGCCCCAAGTCTGTGAAAAATAAATTATTTATGCAAAAATTCTTGACTAGTATTTTCATAAATTATTATCATCCGAGTACAGATAAACTGGTAATCTCTGTGTGTAATCACACATCTTTCTTTTGTGTGTTTGTCTGTTTCTCTGTTACATTGCAGACAAGATTTTAAATTCCTTTTCAGTGTTTATGTTATATGCTAACAAAAACAGTTTTTCTGTTTTATGTGCGGGGGTAATCAGCACGTCTGTAGATTGATCTTTTCATTGTATGTGCAGTACAATTCAATATAATATAGTTATACTAGAAACAGAATAATCTGATTTTTTTCCTATGCTAGACGTGGTTTTAAACAATGTTTTCTGTTCAAATGAGATTCATTTTCACCCTGTAAAACAGGAGTGTTAAGAAATCAAATGGAAGTTGCAGTCTTATGGCCTCCAATACCGATGACTATAGAGGTAATTTTATATCAAGGCAGCCTACTAAACATGAAAATACTCTTTCAAATCAGTATAAAAATAGGCAAGTTAGACTTTTTTTAAGAAAAACAAAAATAAATGGCAGATTAAAAATAAAGCATACCTTTTTGTACAAAGATGTGTAAAGTTAAAGATCTGTGGTGTCCGATCAAAAGTTACAACCCCTGCCATCTTCATCCGCGTGAGTAAATTTCACATTATAAGCAGTTTATTTCACTACAGGAGCAAGTGATGGAGCGCAAGCAATTTATATTTGCTAGGGATGGAGGGTGGAGAAAATCAATCTGTTGCTCAGTCTGCTACCACCCGGAGCATAATTTAACTATGACTGGTGAAAAAAAATCTCGTTTTAAAAAGCTAGAAAATACAGACTTGCAGCTCTAACTTCCTTTAGATTATGTTCCCTTTCACCTCTTCAGCACCTTGTAAGTTTAAAGAATTATCTCTGCCTTGGGCAAACATAATAAAAGAGAACTTTCGGACTAAGTTTTAGTTTACGTATCTCAGCAGCAGCAAACACTCAGCTTGCCTATGCAAAAGCGAAGAAGGTAATTCCTCCCAAATACTGTCATTTCTGCAGAGGGTCTGTTCTCCCGGACCAGCTTAGCACCACGCTTCTGATGTGAAAACCCAGCGGTAGTACTTTTGGCCCCTCCAAACTCACTCCCTCTTCACTGACAGCATCTGTCCCTATATTCTATGATTCTGGCTGTACTAAAGATGTCAGTCATTCTTCTTGGTAGTGATACTTGTGTATAGCCTACAAAAACAGACTAGGTGACACAAGCCCTGATTTTGTCCCATGCCTCCAGCTGTCCCTCCCTATTGCCGCAGCAGGAAGAATACCGAGAACAGGCTGAAATATTTTTTCCAGTATAAAAGAGCACATGAACTTCCTAGTCCCAGAGAACAGGAATTTTCTAGGTGTTTAGGAATGCAGGGACTACATACATTAATTGATATAGCTGTTCATGGGTTACAAGGTACTGGTGTAACCTCCTACTGATTTCTTTAAATCAGATGGATCACTGCCTCAGAGTCACCATGCGACTTGAGTGAATAAATGGGTTTGTCCTACTGATGAACCTCCCCATGTCAGCGTGCAGCAGAATTGGAAATGGGAGCCACAGTTGCAGCCGTACTCCACAAACGTACCACTCTCTGCATCTTCCCAGAGGAGCGTAAAGATGGAGCCACTGGAACAGAATGAATGCTCCCTATCCTAAACTACCCATTGCGAAGTTTAAATAAGAAAAGGTTAATGTGGAGGAGGAGAAAGTGGAAGAGTGGTGGTGGAAGTTCCGCAGGCTAAAAGTGGGTAGAATCATGGAATGGTTTGAGTCAGAAAGGACCCTAAAATACCGCCTAATCCAAACCCCATGCTGTGGGCAGGGACATCTCTTGCTAGATCGGGTTGCTCAAAGCCTCATCCATTCTGATTTTCAACATCTCCAATGACGGGGCATTCACAACTTCTCTGGCAACCTGTTCTGGTGTCTCACCACCCTCATCGTGAATAATTTCTTCCTTTGCTTACATAAAGATTCTAATAGTAAATGCTGTCTTTAAAATGTCTGCCTGGCACTCAGGGATAGATGACCACGTGTAATCTGAGCTGACACACAAAAATTATTTGAGAGAGATTATTATCTACTCAAATTTTTTTGAGCCGATCGGATGGCTACAGTGCATTTTGGGGACTGATGGTATGCTGGGGAACACCCTTTCAAACACTCTAAACTTTAGGAAATGCCTGCAAAGAATGTTGGCGGGAGGAGAGGGAGAGAGACCTCATTTTAGAAAAGGAAAGACAGATAAAGAAATGTGGGGGTTTTTGTGTGCAAAGGTTGTCCTGGAGCCAGCATTAGCAGCTCAATGGCCAAGGATACGGCCTCGTTAGGCATGCCTGGTATGAATATGTAACTCCATCACTAGGATCAATATGAGTTAAGAAGTATATCTAGCACTATAATGCTCTTTTACCTTATTCTCCTCGGCACCCTGCAAAAGCATATCACTGATCCAAGTGTCCTGTATAGGATAAATAAACTTCTTCTGCTGAGAACTCTAAAAAGCTAATCGTTACGTTTTAATTTTGTCGCTGAGGATCGCTCAATAGGTCATGTCCGATTTCATAGTTAAATGACAGCTTGCCTGGAAGTATTCGATCATTTTGGCAAGCTATCAGTCTACAGCCAGCCATTTCTATTAAGGACTTAAAGCAGCTTTCTAAACATACGTCTCTTCTATCGAGTACTTAAAGTAGGTTTGCAAACAATTTTCTGCTACTTGGGAAAAATTTCTGAGTCTGTTGAAATGGTCCACGGACCCTCCACCCCACGTCGCGCAAAGACGCTGAAGCTTTGCTTGAAAATCCTATGCGTTCGGTGAGATTGAGCTATGGTGGCTGGGGATCTACTTGTTCTGTAAGAGATAAATATTAAGAGAGATATTTAACAATCTGCATATAATAGTCCGGAATGTATTATCTCATTTCAAATGGTGTTTCAGGCAAATGACAACTCAACGAGTCGGGGGGGGGAATTAATTTGAGCGCCAATGACAATTGTATAGCGCCAATGATGCTCTTTACCTTACTCCAGACATTTTGCCTATTTACACAAACTGTCACACCGACATTCAGTGTTTACTACGAAAATACTTGGCGATGTAAGGAGAGAACACTCATTTTTCTTCCAGGTCTAGAAGCTACCTCATTGGCTTTTCATCAGTGGTGGGTTTGCTGCAAAACATCCCCCAAACTTTGATGACTGAATTATGTTTTCTTAGCTCAGGGCCAAACGCCATAGAAATCATTGAATCGTGGATATACTCTCCAAAGATCAAGACCTTTTCATTCCTACTCATCAATAATGTGCACTTTATGTGTGCTATTGATTTTTATTTTCTACTGTATTTATCTGACCCACAGTAGCCAGCTAGATAACTAGAGGCACAAACATCAGCGATGTGTCCTACAGGCTTTCAGGGTAATGTGGGCTCACTCTGATGATTTTCTTTCAGTAGTGAAGTTAGTATCACAAAGGATAAACTGCAATAATGAGAAATTTGGGTGACTGTACTACTCTCATCGGTACTGTGTTTGAAGGCAGACCAGAGAATACCACATAAAGACTGAAGCACGCACTCTTCACGTTCATCCATTTTCTGTGCTGGTTTACAGATTCAGTTTGGATCGCCAAGATATATGTGCAAATCAGTAGGTGCAGATTTGTGCTTTTACTTTCACAAGCAAAATTTCTGAAGAAGCCCTGGCATTTATCCAAAAAGGTGTAAGGTGGGTTTTTTGGGTCACTGATTAGCTATTGGAAAGCTTAAATAGCATGCTGTATTTCCACTCGGGACTTCCTTTTTCACTTTACAAGTTCTTCACTATGTTGAAAAGACCCTCTTGTAAAATAAGCAGGATGCTTGTACTCCCCCAGTGCTCTATTCCAAATGTTTACAGAGCACTCAAAAACCTTCTTGCTGTTTAGGAACTGATTGTGTAGAAATTTTGTGGTGAAAATTTCTGAGGTTGAAAACTTTTAAATCGTATCCTTACAACTGAGAAACATCCAATCAGATAAGCCTCGGCATCTTTAAAGAAAAAGTAATCGCTTTTTCTCGAAGAGGATTTGAGAATACGCCAACGTTCTGGCCACTCTGTGAGGAATTTTCCAGTTAGTCGTTAGGGTGAGATTTACTGACCTGAGGAAATGGGTTTTGAGGCACTGTTTGTGACTGCAGGAGGAGCGTTCCTGTTTGGCTTTTCTCTTTCTTCAGCGCATACCTGTTTCCTTAAGAAAAGGCGAGCTGGTTGTAACAGGTGTCACCAG